TCAGCCATCACTTCCAGCTTCTGAGGATATATTTGAATATTAATTGCAACATACTAAGCATTCCTTCTAGCCTTCTGTTATGTCTAAATACAATAACCAAACACTAGTAAAAGTTGAACAGAACTAAAAATAGTTGTAGACAGTTGTTTGCTTCACACCAACATTGAACAACTTAGATCCATTATACATCCTAGAAACCAAGAGTTTGTTTCATAAATGAATATGTGATCCACTTTGGAAAATTCTTGTTCGATCAGCCATGCAGGTGTCTAAATTATGGCTGTTATTCAACTCTCCTTTCTCCATTCTAGACAGCCCAAGGATGTCAGGTTTGGGCTTATTCCTAATGATTGATTAACCCAAAGTGTCTTCTGCCCATGTATGATACAGATCTTCCACTCCAGGGATAGAAAACTGGAAAATTGGAAACTGGCTTAAAAAATCTTTGCCTTATCTTTATGATATCTGCAGTACGTCCAGTGTTCTGTCTCCTAAAGGTTCCTGAAGCTTTTCCATACAAGCTTGAGTATCTTTTGGGATTCTGGATATTTGGGGGCTTTGGAATGTTTGCACATATCTTGAGTATAGAACCCAAGCATAAATTCATCTTAGAAATTCATTTGTGTTTCATATGTACCCTATATCTAGAACCTGCAGCTGTGTTTTTACAGTATTGGTACCATACCTATGTTCACTCTGCAACTTGTCACATGAGCTCAGGTGTGCAGTTTTCTGCCTGTGGTGCTGTGTCAGCTCTGAGTTTTGGATTTTCAGACTAGGGAGACCACCTAGTCTGGCACAACTCACTGTGCATTTCTTTTGTGCGGGGACAGACACACCGCACAGGCATGGATCTGCTCAGGCTGAGAAGCTCAGGGTTGCCTGTGGGCAGAGCAGCTCAGTTCATTCTGCAACCGTAGAATGCATTTTTAGGACTTGATGTATCAAACTGCAGGAGCATCTTCTATTCTGAGCAGTTGGTTGTTATTTACAGCACTTGGAGTCAGCGGGTGTATATTCTCACATCTCTAGCCCTGAAGTATTTTGTTCTATTGCTTCTCAGTCTGGATCTATGATTGTGGCAGAAAAAAATTTTTGAAACTGAATTACAGCAAAGATATAAGCATGGAGCTTTCTTTATTTATTAGACTTTGTTTTTCATCCTGGAAATGCTTGAGACCCATATAAAATGTATAATAGCCTTTTAAATGTCTCCTTATGTTTTTTAAAGGAAGCAGAAGAAAAGGAGCGTAGAGTTACATAGAGTTGTACTGAGTTTATTGACCCCAAAGCAAGCAGCTGGGCTTCTCCCAAGAATCAGGCATCTACCTGCAAGGCTCCACCAGCTTTAAGTATGTACCGCACCCAGTTTGGTTTCCAACACCTGGTTCATTAGAAAGGGGCTGAAGATGTTCAGTTTGCTTAAGAATTTAGAAATCGAAAATTTAATCTTACACCCAGATTTCTTACATTTTTTACTGTGTATGTGAATCATCTGGAGATCTTGTTAAATTGCAGATTCTGAATCCATAGTTCTGAGTGGGGCCTGGGATTCTGCATTTATAACAAGCTCCCCCAGATGCTGGTGTTGCCAGACTGAGCCCCATACTTTGACTGGCAGGGCCTGATTCTCGGGGATACATTTTAAAATTCTGACCAATAAATATAAAAATTTAGATGCTGCATTTATGGATTTATAAATGCTTAAGGTGAATGTATGCAGAACAGAGATTTACGAGGCCATCCATAAATAGCAAATCTTAAATTTTTTCTTGATTCATCTATGAATCAAATCCTCTTCTACTTTCTCTTTTGCAATAATAATGTCAAAGCAGTGTGATGTGCTTGTGTGGTTCTATGACAACTTAGTGTTTATGTTATCGTGCACGGCCTGGTGCTTTGAAATTTTTTGTTGCGTTAGGTATATCCAGAGGTGAACTCCAGGGCCCCTGAGAGGCCATTTATGTACAACTGGAAAGAGTCCCTAGAAGCAAGATCCCATTCTCCTTTCTTACCTTGTTTGTCTCTGAGTTGTTTACCTACTGAAGTTTTCCACCTGTGTAGTTTCCCCAATGTACCGGGAACCTGATGACATTCTGTGGCGCCCTCTGGTGGTTCACTGAAAATACTGCAAGATCCAACCCCTACCCTCATGTGTCCCAGTCAGTGGAAGGTGTGGGCCATACAGCACACAAAAAGCACAGGTCACCTTGAATTGCAGAGCCCTGTCTCCTTCGTGCTGTGCTGGTAAATAGTCTTCCTAAATTTAGGAGAAGGCTTAAGTGTGGAGGCTACTCAAGAGGCTGAGGCAGACAAGATCACACAAGCCCAGGAGTTTAGGGCCAGCCTGTGCAGCACAGGGAGACCCCTCTCTTTAAAAAATAAATTCAGAAAATTAAAAAGTAAATAAACCTAGGAGGAGAATGGGTTGAGTCTGTATCAGTTTGGACCAGGTCACATATTCTGTGTTAACCATTGTATCCTTGACTTACCATTGGCAGTCTCTAGAAAAGGTGCTGTTTATCAGTGAGTAAGTTTTCAGATGCATAAATCTGAATTTGTGTGTCAAAGCTGATAGGTCGTTTTGGTCCATTAACCCCAGCCCAGTTAGCCATTAGGGCTACAAAGCCAGCATCTTGTCTCTCAAATAGCACAAACTCCTGCTCTTTTGACAACCAACTCAGCATTTTTTTCCATATTTTCAAAAGCTGGGTTCTTAAAGTACCTTCGGAGAGGTTTTCTAGTTTGCGTATTGTGCATTCCCCTGTACAAGCAATTTTGCATTTGCATTGCTAATAGGCCTGTTGCTGAATATGTTTGACATTTTGCTTGGCTTTGAAAGGACTTTTATGCCACTGCTTTTTTTCTTCCCTAGAGCTGCCTTGAGCTAATTAACCTATTCTCTTACTGGCTGGGCCTACTATATGCAAATATCCTCATCCCACATTCTGAGATATCATTCTCATACTTGCATTCCCAATGAAATCCGAGTGTGGGGCGGGGGGGGGGGGGGTCAGTGCTCCTGCAGAACCAGCAGGGGGCGCGTGGAATGGTTGGCTTCGCGAAGATCCCAGAAATAAACAACTTTGCTAGTTGGGATGAGGATGTGGAAGCCCATCCAGTCCCCTTCCTTAAGAGTGACTCTTGGAATCTCAAGATAAATGGTCATTATCACTGCTTTTCAGGCAGCCAAAAGGGGCTGCAGTTTTGAGTGTTGTTTATGCTTACTCTATCCTTGTAATGAATTAGTAAGTCTGGGGTGTAAGTTATGTACTGTGCAGAACAAAGTTTTGCAGGACTTTTAAAAGTCCTAGGATGGGATGGTAAATAACTCCTTGGACAGAGTTGCAGCTGTTCATTTCTTCAGCATTATTTCAAGTCTTTTTACTTTTTGTTTCTATCCAGTCGTTAAGCCCCTCTTGTCAGATGAATCCTATTCAGTGTTGGCATAACCAATTTCTAAACCTCTCCCTTTCTGTACTTGGTCAGAATCATTAAGGCGGTAAACTTTCTGTTGTGTCATTTGTCATTTTACCTTCTTGATGATGAAGCTAATTCAACAAGAGCCATTAAATCATTGCCCAAAAAAGTAACAAATCAGGGTGGAGGGTCCTAAACCTGATAGGAGAGATTTGAGATTAGGTGATACAGAGTGGGTGGGGTACAGAGGAGAGAAAATGCCACGCATTGCAGGCACAATTTCACCCTTCCTTCAGCTTGGACAAGAATTGAATGCTGAAGACTGCGGTCTTGTGTTTGTTTGAAAATCAGATCATAGCGAAGAAAGTCTTAGGAAAGAAAATGGCAAAACTTGAGCTGCAATTCCCCAAGTCCAGCTCCATGGCTCTCAGGATCATAGCACTTGACAATGCTCTCCTCTGCTGCTACCACCCACCAATAAGGGCTACTGTCATCCACTGCCTGTTAGCCTGGTTCAAGTTGGTTCCATTGACCTTACTGCTTTGTGCCAGGTAGACCCTGGTTTGCCCACACAGTAGTTTACTGGTTACAAAGGGACTGAGATGTTTGTCAGTAAGAACCTGCTCCAGGCTCACTAGCTAGCTGGCCATGTTTGAACGCACAGTTCTACTTTGTGTGAAAGGGTTCCACCTCTAGTATCAGTGGTAAGCTGGCCCTTTCCAAGGAGACATAGGTAAGAGGGGAAAATTTAGAGATGCCTTGAAAGGGGAGAGGAAGAGACAAGATAAAGCACATGCAGAAACTTTTGATGCATCAGCTCTGTCGTATTTGATTTCTTTAAAACTAATCAAGTGCATTTTTTAAGCTCAGATTTCTTTTGGCTTCCTGTTACCACATGAGTTTCTGTACTGGGAATTCTTTTGAAATTTCAAGACACTAAATAAGATTTTGGCCATCTCTGCTGAGCTGGTGTGTGTGTGTGTGTGTGTGTATGTGTATGTGTATGTGTATATATACACGTGGTGGGTGGTCATTATAGATCCACTATGGACCCAGAGCCAGATACACTTTTCAGAGTTTCAGTTCTGGCAGATGAGGATGCAGAAATATCCTACAGGATGTGCTCAGCACATCTGTCCCTAGCTCTGCCGCAAGTCCAGCTGGCCTTGGCAGGTGTCTTCTTTCCCATGGGCTTTGTTTGATTTATCACGAGGTAAAAAAGAAGTAAGGGATAGAACCAGCATTTCTGAAAAGGGAATTCAAAAAATGCATCCTCTACTCTCCAAGAGGAAGGAGGAGAAAGAGGAGAAAGAGTCTTGCACAAGTCATAGGAGAGCTGTTAACTCCGTAGAGAAGCGCATGCTCTAAGGTTGGGACTCGCTGTGATTCTGAGCGCTCCTCTAACCAGCGTGCCCAGTGCTATGGCTGTAATAGGGCTCTCGGAATTCATGTTGATTCCAGGGCTTTAGTCTTAATCTTGCCAAGATGGTTTTTCTTTGTCTTCCTCGTGCTGACCTGTTGATTTCCTTCCCTGCCCCTCTCTCTCTTTCCTTCTCCCCCACCCCTGGCCTCATCGCTAGAATCCGGAGCTGCTGTGGGCCGAGTGCATCCACGGGGAGATGATTCCTCATGAAGCGCCTGGATCCCTGGCTGGAATCAAATGTGACTTTCCATTTATCAGACTAAAACCAGACCCAGCCAGACAGTGAGACGGCCACCGTGGAGGGGGGACGGCAAAAATGAAATCCAACCAAGAGCGGAGCAACGAATGCCTGCCGCCCAAGAAGCGCGAGATCCCCGCCACCAGCCGGCCCTCTGAGGAGAAGGCCACCGCCCTGCCCAGCGACAACCACCGGGCAGAGAGCGTGGCATGGCTCCCCGGCAACCCGGGCGGCCGCAGCCACGGGGGCGGGCGGCACGGGCCAGCGGGGACTTCGGTGGAGCTTGGTTTACAGCAGGGAATAGGTTTACACAAATCACTCTCCACGGGCCTGGACTACTCACCGCCCAGCGCTCCCAGGTCGGTGCCCGCGGCCGCCACGCTGCCCACGGCGTATCCTCCCCCGCAGTCGGGGACCCCAGTGTCCCCCGTGCAGTACGCTCACCTGCCGCACACCTTCCAGTTCATTGGGTCCTCCCAGTACAGTGGACCCTATGCCGGCTTCATCCCTTCGCAGCTGATCTCGCCCTCGGCCAACCCGGTCACCAGTTCGGTGGCCTCCCCTGCAGGGGCCACCACTCCGTCCCAGCGCTCCCAGCTGGAGGCCTATTCCACGCTGCTGGCCAACATGGGCGGCCTGAGCCAGGCGCCGGGACCCAAGGGTGAGCCGCAGCCACCGCACCTGGGCCGCGCCCCCGGCCTCATCGCCCCGGGGTCCCCGCCTGCCGGCCAGCAGAGCCAGTACATCCACATCTCCAGCTCCCCACAGAGCTCCGGCCGCCCGGCCTCCCCCCCGGCCGTCCCGGTCCACCTCCACCCCCATCAGACGATGATGCCGCACACGCTCACCCTCGGGCCCTCGTCCCAGGTGGTCGTGCAGTACACCGACTCCGGGGGCCACTTCGTCCCTCGGGAGCCCGCCAAGAAAGCCGAGAGCGGCCGGCTGCAGCAGGCCAAGGAGGTGCTGAACGGGGAGCTGGAGAAGAGCCGTCGCTACGGGGCTCCGTCCCCGGCCGAGCTGGGGCTGGGCAAGGCGAGCGGCAAGGCGGTGCCTCACCCCTACGAGCCCAGGCACATGGTGGTCCACCCGAGCCCCGCGGACTACAGCGGCCGGGAGGCCTCGGGGGTGCGGGCCTCTGTGATGGTCCTGCCCAACAGCTCCACGCCCACGGCCGACCTGGAGGTGCAGCAGGCCACGCACCGCGAGGCCTCACCGTCCACGCTCAACGACAAAGGCGGCCTGCACTTGGGAAAGCCGGGCCACAGGTCCTACGCCCTGTCACCCCACACGGTCATCCAGACCTCACACAGTGCTTCGGAGCCTCTGCCGGTGGGACTGCCCACCACGGCCTTCTACGCAGGCACACAGCCCCCCGTCATCGGCTACCTGAGCGGCCAGCAGCAAGCGATCACCTATGCCGGCAGCCTGCCGCAGCACCTGGTCATCCCGGGCACCCAGCCCCTGCTCATCCCGGTGGGTGGCACTGACATGGAGGCGTCGGGGGCCGCCTCTGCCATTGTCACGTCGTCGCCCCACTTCGCTGCAGTGCCTCACACCTTTGTCACCACCGCCCTGCCCAAGACTGAGAACTTCACCCCCGAGGCTCTGGTCACCCCAGCTGCCTACCCAACCATGGTCCAGGCCCAGATCCACCTGCCCGTGGTCCAGTCGGTGGCCTCCCCCGCGGCGGCGCCCCCAACCCTGCCGCCCTACTTCATGAAAGGCTCCATCATCCAGTTGGCCAACGGGGAGCTGAAGAAGGTGGAGGACTTGAAGACGGAAGACTTCATCCAGAGTGCGGAGATCAGCAATGACCTCAAAATCGACTCCAGCACCGTGGAGAGGATCGAAGACAGCCACAGCCCGGGCGTTGCGGTCATACAGTTCGCTGTTGGGGAGCACCGAGCACAGGTAACGTTGGCCAGGCCTCACAGGTATGGGGGCCCCTCCGCAACCCTGCATCCTGGCAGGTCACATAGCTTCTGCGAGTCAGGATTAAGGGTTCCCGGAGCTTAGATGACCCCTCCCACCTATGTTCCCCATGGCATCTGTTTGCAGTCGGTTAACCTCTGCATTTAGGCATTTAGGACGGGGTACTTATGCACTGAGGGGCCCCAGCTGAGAAAAGTGGAGAGACATCAGGCCCTGTCTGGTGGTCGGGAAAAGATGGGGTGAGGATGTTAGATGCAGGAGTCACTGCGTCCCTTTCCAATGTCCTGCTTTAAAATACAGATCTAAGTATGGCAAAGCCAGAAGATGACTCTTGTTGAAAAGATGGTTTGTTTTATAGTCTCAGATGCTGAGAGAAGGGGAACACGCCATCCTATGAGAGAGACTTAGAGAAACACCAGGTCCCCGACACAGAATGAGGGCACCATGGGCCAGAGCCCTTATTTCTGTCTCCATGGGAAGGGATAGGAGAGACGGGGTAAGCAGGCGTGATATGGGTGACTCAGAAGCCCAGGGGCATCCCGATAGCTGTCTGGTAGCTGGCCCTGCAGAGGCTGGGGAAGTGGGCGGGCCTTGAGTTCAAAAGCTCAATGCGGGAGGTGTTGGGGTGCAGGCTTCAGATTGGTTTGTACGTGAAAGCTGTGCACCTAAGTGCATTGTTTGCCATCTCCAGGAATCAGCTAGGCCTGGCAGAAGCTTCAGCTCAGCCAGCACCCAACAAGGCAAAGCCAGAGAATATGAAAGGCACAATTGGCCAGGGCTGTCCTAGGGACCCCCTGGGCTTGTGGAATAGTCAGATGTGGCCCAACTGAGTCATGTTACAAACTGGAGCTATCTTAGCTCTCTAAATTAACCAGGGCTCCTTCAGTCCACTCATTCCAGCCTCTTAAATCACCTGCATCCATTTATCCCACAGCCTGTTCGTGGGAAATAGCAATCTCACTCCCCAAGTTGCTGGGACTCAAAAAGGTTGTCCCCCAGCCTGGCACTTCCCCAGCTGTGGGATCCACTGTCCCCAGATGTGTTCTCAGAGGACTTAACAGCAGTCAGAGGTGACAAGGCTTCCTGTAGGCGTGCATGGAAAATAGCCATGGGATAACTGATATTTGGGACTTTCAAAGAAAAGACTAGCAAAAGTAAACTGACAGCTTAAATTTTTCTGAGCACTTTTAAAAGATCAAGGGGGTAGAGAGACCAGTTTCCCAAAATGTTTTCCAGAGCTGCTGTAGGATTTCACACTGTCAGAGCCCTCTGTCACTGAGAGCTTTTATCCTTGAATACTTTTTTATGGCGAGACATCACTGTAGGCTTACAGTCTCTGGAGAGGCTCAAGAAAGATACCTTGAAAGTTTTTGTTTTAAAATAAAATCAGGATTTTAAAAAAAATGTAATTACTTAAACCACTACCCATCTATGGAGGCTGCTAGCTTCCTATAGGAAATCAGGACAAGGCCAGAAAGAAATGCGTGGCCTTCAGCAAAACTGACTTCCAACAGACCCCAGGTGAGACGTGGAAATAAGCAAGAATGAAAGTAAATGTGTTCTTCATGGTGCTTTTAATCCTTGAAACGTGATTGTGAAAGGGAGGCTGGCGTGTGAGGAGGTTTTGTTCCAAGATGCTGTGTGCTCCTTAACTGCATCTCTCAGCTTGAGAATAAATTGGGCCACTGTTGCAGGGACCATACTTCCTACGCGCTGGCAGGCTTTGCAGGCAGGGACTCGGTGCTCTGCAGCCCTCTTCTGTCTGAGAGGAGCAGTCCAGGTGTGAACGCTTCAAGGGCTCGGCCTCCCTGTGAGGTCAGAGCCCTGCTTTGGTTTCTTTCCTGGTGCCTGATCACTGAGTCCCTTTGCTTACAGTCCAGGTGCAAATGAGCAGGTAGGACCTCTGTCAGGGCCTGGTCACTGTCTGTCTGTCGGTCTCTCTGCCCCTCTGTGCCCACATACTTCAGCAAAGAAAAGCAAGAGCGGTGTGGACTGCTAAAGAGGTGGCTGGGTTTCTTCACAGAATCAAAAGTGCAAGGCACTGACACAACCGACGATTGTCTCTGCACCCAGAAGCCTATCAGAAATTGGCTGACATCATCGCAGCTAAAATACTCCACCAGCTGTGTTTGCCACAAGTGACAGCTCAGAATCAGAGCCAGAAAGAGAAGGCAGAGGGGAAGGGGGAGAGTGCTGATCGCCAACCCTGAGCCGAGGTTCTGGGGCCACAGGCTGCCCCCCTGCTCTACCCTGGGACATCTGCCCCCAGTCTGCCCAAGTGGGGAGACGTGGCGAACACTAGCACCCACGAGGGAGTGTAAGAATGTCATTGCCAACTGTTGAATTAAGTAGCAAATTCACAAATTTGGAGAAGCTGGGAGGAAGGGATGATTTTCCATGGGACAGATGACATAAATCCTGCATGAGTAGAGTCGCAGGGATGCTCGACCTCAGACCTGCACCCTCAGCCACTCACAGCAAGGGCTTGATGGCCTGGTGGGGAGAGAGCCTGGGACTTGAGAGAGACGGGTTGTTTTGCCTCTCTTGCTCCAGTGTCATCTCCAAGGCAGGAAAGTGACCCTTACAAGGTAGTCTTTTGGGCTTCCCTGGTGTTTTTTTCAATCCTTTGCTTTTCTTCATCCTGGAACAGACTATAAAACGTATTGGCATCAGCTATTCAGAAACTAAAGAGGGTTCCTAGAGGGTTATGTAGCCACCTCAGGTTCTCAGGTTCTCCAGCACAGATGCAGAAGAGACTAAAGCCACCCCTTGTAAACTCAAGAGGATTTCATCTTAGCAGTTAATTTTAAAGAGCTGCATTCCTAACTGCTATGGTGGAAACATGCCTCCAATAATTCCAGAAAAGGCAATGTAGGAGAAAAATGCTGTTAATGTGCTTGTCACCATCCCTGTGACCTTACTGTACCCAGCACAGCAGTGCCCTGCACAAGCAAAGTAAGGTTTGTATTCCCAGTCCCTTCACCCTGCTGCTGTGGGAAAAGTGAAGGAACTTCGGGAGTCATTTGCCATCGCCGTGTGCACCCAGGAGGCCTCCTTCCTCCCCAGGTGGAAGACCTGGAGCACATCCTATCACCGTGGAACACTTGCTGCACCTGCCATGCCATGGAGAGTGAGCCCCAGAGGACAGAAAACTGCTCCCCTTGGGATCACTTCCAAATATTACTCACTTAATAATCTCCAAAGTGAGGCCATCAGCCTTCGGCAAGTCCCAGCTGGGACTCAGGCAGTGGCATCAACATGGGGCCCAGGCTATGGAGAAGGTGGGACATTGCACCAAGCCCCAGTAGCTGCTAGGAAAATGCAATACCCGGAGCCAAAACAATCTAATTCTGGCTCTGTCCTCCACTACCAGTAGCACCAGGACATGATGCTGTCAAGTTCCCCCTCCCTGCTTCAGCTTGGCTGACTTGGCCCTGAGAGGAGAGCTTGTGTCTGAAAAATAAATGCAAGAGCTCATGCTCTCAGAGTTTACAGAAGGAGAGACAGCCTGTGATGGTCTCCTAAGAAGGCTGAACTTTCTCACTGAGCGCAGCAGCCATTTATACCCTGGCTTCGTTCTTGTGCACCATTCCCACGCGTGGCTGAGGAGCCCGTTCTGCCCATTTCTCTGGGGAAGGCAGAGTGGGCGCATGTCAGCTTGAGTGAGCAGATGCAGCCTGTTTTTCTGAGCAGAGCTGCATGGGAGGGACAGATCAGCAGTCTAGCTCTCTAGATCAGGGCAGAGCATCAGCACAGAAATGGGGTCTGGGGAACCACGAACCCCCTGGGAGCTCACTGCCTGGCCAGCCCCACCTGGGGAGGGAGCCCTGGGCTCCCATCTGGCAGACATGTTGGATGTAGGAGCAGCCTCCCCGCCTCTGTCTCACGCTCCCCAGCTTCAGCTTTCCTGAAGAGTACCCAGGATGTGCTCTCGGAGTTGTAGTAAAGTTTATTTGTAAAGAGCTCTGGGCCGATGCTTCCCTTTGGCTGCTGTGTTCCTAAGTGCCAAGCTCCATATGTTATTAGGGCTGTCTGTCACCTCCTAGATCCAGGAGGTGACTGCTTGCCTTCCTTACTGCCTTGGGTGGATTTTCAGTGCCCTTTCCCCCTCCCAACTGTCCTGGGGTCGGTGGGTGCACCTTCTCCCATGGCATGTTATAATGATGCGCTTCCTGCATGTCTGCCGGTGGCTTTTCTTTCATTCCACTATTTTTCAGTTTGATGCTGGGGACTGTGAGTCATCCGTGGCAGTGGTATGCGTTGAATGGATTAGCTGCAGCCTAAAAATAGCCCGGCACTCATGCAAGCAGCAGAGAAGCCTGTACAGTCAGTCCCCGAGCAGCCAAGGCGAACCTGCTGCCAACATGTACCATGTGGGGCTTGGTGGCAGTGCATGCTAATGTATCAAAAATAGACACTTGGTCACTGTCCTGAATGCAAAGCCCTGCACTGGGCCTGTGCCCCAGCTCTTAGTGGTCAACTTCCTATCGGTTCTAGAAAGGCTCCACCGGAAACTGTGAGCCACATGACTGTCTGTGTGTGTACCCACAGTCCCCTCCCCAAAGAAAGAAGATACACAGGGGCACATACCTGCGGTCCCGGCACTCAGGACGTGCTTGGGAGTTTGAGACAGCCTGGGCAGCATGGTGAGAACCCATCTCAAAAATAAAGAAAAACCCATTCCTTTAGCCTCCTTGTGTGATGTAAGTGCCCCCGACTGGGCAGTTTTGTGCATATGATTGAAGCAGGTTGGTACAGGTCATTGTTGTTTGTAGCTTTAAAAAAATTAATAGACTTTAGGGCCAGGGATTTAGCTCAGTAGTTCCAGTGCCTGCCTCGAAAGCGCAAGGTCCTGAGTTCAATCCCCAGTACCAGAAATAAATAAATAAATAAATAATAGACTTTATTATTTAAGGCAGTTTTAGGTTTATAAACCATTGAACCAAAGATGGAGTTCCCAACATGCCACTTCCTCTATT